ATGTCACACTACGTAGCAATGTCCTCTGCCCCCATGATCAGACCACTGGCCCTAGACCGGCCGTGTTAGTGAAACAGCACAGCACTACAAGCATCCAATTGCACTTCAGCTCCACAGCTATCATTACCGCCTGTGTTTCTCCTGGTCGGTTATGGGGTAGGAGGGGAATTGGCTTTTCTTGTTTGCCAGCCCACATGCCTAAAGTGGCTGGGATCAGGCTGTGCCCATTCTGGTGGCCTGTGCATGGTACTGGTTCTCAGGGAGGGCTTGCTTCCTGGTGGGGCCTGGCTCTCTCCTCCCCCAATCTGTGAATGGTGCTGAGTCATGGGTAAAGGCTGGAGTCTGGCTGTCCCCCTCCCTTGGCAGCCTGTATATCCACATATTTGTTTTTAAAGAGAGGAAAAAAAAAAGACAAATGAACAATGAAACTGAGTTTCAAAACAGGTTAGTAAGTCAGTTACAATGGTTGATACATTGTGTATTGTTTTCTTAGTAGTTATTGAAAGCATAGAATACAGTAAGGACAGCTTGTCTAACAATGTTAACACAAAAAATTCTTTTCAAGAAACAAATAGAAGCTACCTATAATCACCTTAACTATTTTGTGGAGCTATCTATATCTGTATCTGTATCTGTATCTGTATCTGTATCTGTATCTGTATCTGTATCTGTATCATCTGTATCTATCTGTATATCTGTCTGTAAATCTATCTATATTTCTTTATTCTGTCTTTCTTTTCTCTTTCCCCATCACAGTTTGTTTTTTCTTTTGAACACTTTCTTCCCAATTTATAATATCTACTGTGCACTCCAGGTCTTATTTACTTGTTCAGTTTCTCACACTAGTAAGATAATACTATTTGTACACATACGGGTCTGATTAACTTTGCTTATGAGTATGGTCTCGTGTTGCATCCATTTACCTATAAAAGTCTCCATCTTTTACCCTTCTTCATGACTGAGTAGCACTCCATTATATATTAAAAAACCACATCTAGTTTTACCCATTCCTAGGTTGATGGGCAATCTGAGTGGTTTCCAAGATTTAGCTATTACAATTTGTGCTGCTGTAATTATGGGTGCACATATATCACTGTGGTTCAAAGTCTGCCTGACAAGCACAAGGTCCTGAGTTCAATTCCTGGTACCCCCCCAAATTCAGGACATATAATTTATAGGATTATTTTATAATATTTATCCAACGTCAAATGCAGAAGGGTCCAAGAGATCTATCCATGCACTAGAGACCCAAGGAATCCAGTCAAGGGCCTGGACCCCATGGCAGTGTCCTGTAGGAGTCCAGCTGGAGGCCCAGAGCCCACAACAGTGCCTCATGCAAGTCTGTCCCAAGTATCTGCCCTGGGGAGGCCCAATGGCCAGTGGGGTGAGGGATCTGGGGCTGCAACGGGTCAGCGGTGTTTCATCTCAGCCCTGCGGGACACAGTACAGACAGAGGCGTTCACAGGACGTCGGTCCCACATACATCCGCAAGCCATAAGCTGACCTCAAATGTTATTTGGGTTTTAGGTCAGCATCAATGTTCCTAGCATTAATTCAAGGAAGTAATCTTTTGAGAAGTAGCAGAAGGCAGGGTGTATTTACTTTTCTTGGATTCCAACTTTTTACATTTTATCAGTTAGAAAATGCCACCAGGGAGTGGGCAACGAGGTTGGGCACAGACTGTGTGCCCACTGGTGTTGGACTCCAATGCCTGGCAGCCGATCTCTTACTGTGGCCCTGCGGCAGGAGCCAGAGACCCATGGCGGCAAAAGGAAGGGGAGGGGAGAGCTTGCTAGGCTTCTCCGGTGGCAGTGGCCAACGGAGTGGCTCCCTTGTCTGTGTCCCCACACCCTGTCCTTTCCCTCAGGGATTCTCTGAAGCTCTGGGCTCCCCACACTTTCAGGATTTTAGCTTTGAGTTTGGAACAAGATGAAGATATTGACCAGTTGTTAGGTAAAACCTGGACATGGATTCTCTCCTCCAGAATACCTGAGTTGCTTCCTGCGTGTTTGGGGACTTTCCATGCCTGCTCCCGAGTGAGTTCTGTCTAAGCTTGGGGCCCTGGGACAAGTGTCTAACCCAGAGCACTGCTCCCTGGGGTCCTTGCTTCTGCTCCATAAACAGACACAACCATTGCTCCAAGGGCCAGACTATTCCAGTTTCCCGCAGTGACAGGTGCTAAGGTGCCATGATGCCATTTGTATTCTCCACGCTGCTGCACCTGGAGCATCTCTCTGCTCCCTGGGGCAGCCGGCTGTCTCCGCAGACCTCAGGGACCTGAGTGATGGCTGTGGGACCAGCACACTGGGCCGAGAGTTGGGACTGAGCTGAGCCAGGGTCAGATGTTACTTTTATGCTCACTGTTTTGTCAGATATTTCATTGTACTTTTCTTGGAACACTAAAAGGGACCAGAACTTGCTGCCTTATCCTTGAAAGAGCTCCTGTTTGATCCCTGGAGTTGAAACCCACGAGGCTGATGGAGGTGTGAGTCGCAGGCCTCCTTGGAAGAGCAAAGGTGAGGACTTGGAGTGAACTTTGTTACTGTGGTGAGCCCCTATCTGTATGGAGGTTCCTAGTGTGTGAGTATATAATTACCTCCGTGGTGGTTTTCATTGGGGTTTATACTGACTAGAGGCTCAGAGGAGGGGTTTCCCAATGTCAGCCTGCTGTCCGGAGCCTCACATTGTGGAAGACACCCTGCATCCCTTCCTGAAATTGCTCAGTGCTCTGCATTCAGCAGAGTGAGTGTAATGTAGTTGGGAATGAGTTCCTTCCCTCCTCCCATGCTGAGCTTGGCCAGGTCCTGCATCCCCTGAGTCTTGAAGGACACACAGCACAGGGCTCCTTTTAATCTCTTAAAGGAAAAGAGTGTCTTCAGGTTAATAAAACACAGTTATTTACATCACTGCTCTGAGCAATGGAGTGACCTAGTGCCCAGTCAGGCATTGCAGTTTCTCTGGTGATTCTGTGAATAACTATGGTCTTCTTGGAGCTGGTCTGAAGGGGTGTAGTTCAAATGATCCACTTCCAGCAACCACAGGACTGGGAGTGCGGGGGGTGACCCCAGCATGAGAGGACAGCAGACAAGGGATCCGGCAGGCGCTTGGATGGGGCTGTGAGGTGAAGCTGGTGGTATCCCCTGACTTCTCTGTCAGGAAGAGGCTGGGTGGTGGCCTGTCCATCCTGCAGAACAGCCTGGAAATGTAGGAGGAAGAGCCTCAAAGTGGGGTGAGAGTACCATAAATATGAAAGGAGGTGCTGCACACCCCAAGAGCAGCAGAAACTGAGCCCGCGCCACCTCCAGTGTGCCGAGCTCCACCCAGGAGTTGTACAAGTTCTCCTCCACCATTTGGTCTCCTTGGGGCTTCGCCATGGGCCAGAGAAACACTCCAATGCTGCTAATCCAGTTTCACAGCTTTAAGATGAACTTTCCAAACTTAGTTACACATTTGTAGTTTTGTGCCAGGCTATTGAGGTATTTGGACATTTTCAAAGACTGTGTCCTTTGAAATTTCAAGATTCTGAACTAAAGACACGAACTAAAAAGGACAGGAAAACGGAGTATATTCATTGATAGTTGGATGCCTGACAGTTAAAATGGGAGAGCTGCCGGGTGCTGGGTGAGGGTGAAAAATCAGAGCATCTTATGATCAAATACTGAAGCACTGAGAACAAACTATTCCTTCGAGGTGAATTTGCAGTTTTGGCTGAGGAGTCGGGCGCACATGGTAGCCTACACTAAAGTGTTTATCTAGCTCCTTCTATCCACTGGGGTCTCCTGGACTTAGTTGAAACTTCGGCAGACTCTGTGAATGCATAGGTAGGAGGCATTCTTCAAAGCCACACTGCAGGTGTGTACATGTGCGTGTGCAAAGCTGTGCTTATGAGTTCCTGGGGCCACCTTTAGAGGTCCCGGTTCCTTGGCATTGGCCTGGCTGCCTCTGATGGCTCCCTGCCCCTTTCCCTCCTGCATGGTGCCTGCCTGAGGGCCCAGGGCCTGGACTAGGGAGCTGAAACTTGTAAAATTTCCTAGTGCAGCTCTAGCTGGGAAGAGTCCTCAGTGTCTCCTCCAGCACTGGCAGGTGGCAGGGGCAGCCACACGGAGAAGCCTGTCCTTCAACCCTGTCTGCACTCTCCTTCCCCCTGCCTCTGTCCTGCAGATGCCCAGGGTCATTTGTGATTACTGAGGTAGGTGTGATCCTGAGTGGACATTAGCCCTCTAGACAGAGGCCCCCTCAGAGCCCCAGGCTTAGACCAATGCCACCATGGACACCAAAGTGACGGTCAGGCCACCAGTCACATGGGCCTGTGAGGTCTGGCTGAGGACTCACAGCAGATCTACACCCCTTTCCATCTTGCCTAAGAAAAAGTCAGTATACAGAGGGACAAGCTGGACAGCAGGCCAGGTCTCCACATCCCTGTCCCTTGCAGAGCCAGAATCAAGTCCAGCACCTCCGCTCTTTCATATAGGGCCTGAAGGCCCCCTGCTCTGTTCACACACCATTAAGGAGCTGTCTGGCATGGGTGTCCATGAACTGAGTCCCTTCTGCTTCCACACATGCTGCCTTCTCTTCCGGAAACATTGTGTAAGCTGCCAAGTGTGATACTCCTGCCATTTGGAACAACACAAACCTCTCTCAGGGCAGGGGTCTCCTGTCAGACAAACTTCCAGAAGGGGCTTGCTGACCAGACCAGACCAGACCAAGGGGCATGGTTTGCATCCTGACTGCTCAGTAACTCTTTCACCTGAGCACATGCTCTGTCCTATCCTTTGGTCATACTCACCAAGGAAAAGCAATGGACCCAGTACCTCCCGTGTCCTTCAAGAATCAGGGCCTCTACGCTGCAGGAATCCACGCATGCGTGCTGGGAAAGCAGCAAGGGAGAACGAGCCCCTCGACTTCAGTTCAGTCCGTGCAGACTGGGGGTAGTAGGTGCAGTGTTCTGGAGTTGTCTCATCCAGTTCTTTGTTGTTTGGCAGCCACAGGTGGTGACGGTTATGGCAAAGCACAATGACAGTCACTTCCAGCCATTCATCCTGATGGGCTTCTCTGATCGGCCTCGACTAGAGCAAGCCCTCTTCATTTTTGTTTTGGTTTTCTACATGCTGGCCCTGGTGGGCAACATGGCCATCATCCTCCTGTCGGCACTGGACACCAGGCTGCACACACCTATGTACTTCTTTCTGGGGAACCTGTCCTTCTTGGACCTCTGCTTTACCACAAGTATTGTCCCCCAGCTGCTGTGGAACCTCTGGGGTCCAGAGAAGACCATCAGCTACCAGGGCTGTGCAGCCCAACTCTATATCTACATGGTGCTGGGCTCCACTGAGTGTGTCCTCCTGGCTGTCATGTCCTATGACCGCTACGTGGCCATCTGCCGGCCCCTGCACTACATGGCGGTCATGCACCCCCGCCTCTGTCTGCAGCTGGTCAGCGTGGCCTGGTGCTGCGGCTTTCTGAACTCTTTCATCATGTGTCCTCAGACCATGCGACTGTCCCGCTGTGGGCGGCGCCAGGTGGACCACTTTCTCTGTGAGATGCCTGCCCTCATCGCCATGTCCTGTGAAGACACCATGCTGGTAGAAGCCTTTGCCTTTGCCCTGGGGGTCGCCCTGCTCCTGGTGCCCCTCTCTCTGATCCTTGTCTCCTATGGCATGATTGTGGCCACCGTGCTGAGGATCCAGTCAGCTGCAGGGCTCAAGAAGGCCTTCAGCACCTGCTCCTCCCACCTCACGGTGGTCTCCCTCTTCTACGGCACTATCATTTATATGTACCTGCAGCCGGCCAACAGCTACTTGCAAGACCAAGGCAAGTTCCTCACCCTCTTCTACACCGTCATCACCCCCAGTGTCAATCCACTCATCTATACTCTGCGGAACCAGGATGTCAAGGGAGCAGCAAAGAAGTTCCTGGCATGCAAAAAAGAGCACAGGGTAGAGTGAACCCAGGGAGCCCGGCCCGTGTCCTGTGTCCCCTGTGCCCTGCGGCTGCTCCAGGCCATCTCTGCCCCTGGCCCTGTGAATTGTCCACAGCTGAGGTTCTCTACCCTACAGGACAGACTCAGTCACAGAGAGGCACTGGACCGTCGGCAGATGGATGTAGATACAGAGAAGCGAGATAACATAAGTGGCTGTTCTTTCCTGGAAGCTCTTCTGAATCCATGGCAGCCAGGGCTTTCCAGGGTGGGGGAGGAGGTGTCAGTGAAGCACAGTCCTGCTCAGATACAGCTTGTCTCTCCCCCTCCATGTGTAGGAGGGGTGGTCAGGCTGACTGATGGAAGGGAGGCCTGTGCTTGGTCATTCACCTCACCTCGACTTAGTCACCACCAAAGTGTAAACCAGAGGGCTGCTGGGTAAGAGGCCCAGCCTTTGTGGTGAGTTGATGAGGATGCTCTGTGTAGCCGATCACTTAACAGCCGAGACTGTTCCTCCTCAAGGAGCTGCTTTAGATTCATATTCCACGCCATGGTCATTGTGGGTACAACAACAACTTAATAATAATAATAATAATGAAAACGGGGAAAGCGGATTAAGGCGGGTGGTGGCGGGGAAGAGCAATAGAAGGGTGTGAGGTATGTGGCCCACTCACTGAGCTGAACATCAGTTTCATGTACTGTAAGAGTGATCTGAAGCAGAATTTTGAAGTCCTCGGCCAGCAGGAAAACTGGGTGCGGAGAACTCGGCTGGCCTGTGCTCCTGTCCAGCACTGTAAGGAAGTGAGGCTCTCCAGCAGCTGCTCCTGCAGCAGGCACGGTGCCCCTCTGCTGGTTCCGCTCTCCTGCTTTGCTTTACTGGGAGTGGTAGAAGCCTGCTTTGCCCAGGGCCCCACCCTAGGAGAAGAGGCTCAGCCAGCTGTGAGGGTGGTGCAGAGAGGGCGCTCCTGCCCCTTCCTCCCCTTAGGTGCTAGATGTGGGGCTCGCTCCTGGGAGCGGTGTGTGTGTGTGTGTGTGTGTGTGTGTGTGTGTGTGTGTGTGTGTGTCTGGGGACTACTACTCTTCTGAAGCCGCACTGAGGTCCATCAACAAGTGGTGGAGGGGACAGTGGGTGACAAACCCCCGGGCAGGGCAGGACAAGGAGTGGGCTCTGGGTGTCCTCTGTCAGAAGGAGAGTAGACCAGCAATCACCATGGCAATTCTGCAAACAGAAGCCTCCAGATGGCTGCATTTCAGTTTTGGAGACAGATGTCAATAAGATGGGAAAACGATGTGTTTGGAATTACTGGCATTAAACAAAAATCACGGGAGAGATTCGTGCTCATCTAGGAACTAAGACTTTAGCTGATGTGAAACCTTTTGAGTTCTTAAATGTTTTGGTTGGATACTGCAACTGTGGGTCTCTAATTTTCCTCTAATCTCCCCATGGTAGGAACCCTCTGATACCTCCTCCCAGAACGCTTTCCTTGGGAAGGAAGAGGGGGCATCCAGTGTCATAGGAAAGTGGGTGCTGCAGGGCCCCTGCTGTGGGGTTGTCAGCTTCATCCTGTGGGCAGAGAAGGAAGAGCAAGGCCTGGGGGCCGGGCTGGGGTGGATGCTCAGCCAGCTTCTCCCGGGCTGGCTCTGTGCTATGCTGTCACTGCGGGGGCAAAACCAGTCTCTCTCAGCACCTCATAGGTGCAAGGTCTCAGTTCCCAATCACCCTAGCATCTGTGCATGAGCGAATTCATTCTGGTTTGCTAAGCTCCATTCAAAGCCACAGGCGTCCACACCACTGTGTGCCTGGACCACAAGCGCATGGAGAGGAGTCCTCTCAGGTTGCATGTGACACATGGAATGCAGTTAATGTATGTAAGTGACAAAATTTCCTTTTTATATTCTAACTTATTAAAATATTTTACAAAGTGAAAGAAGTCCAAGTTTAATAGTTAACTAAGAAAACCTACCTGTCTGCTTAATATCAGCATAAACCTGCCTTCACAGGTGGACACAGAGAGGGTGGGTGGAATGCTATTTTCACCTCATTTTTACTGGCACCTGTCTGGGAGACCTAATGACCGCATTCCTCCTGGAGATCTGGGATGCTTGTCACTAAGGAATCCTGCTTCTCTCTACGCCCCGGTCCTTCCGGCTCCCCCTTTTCTGTGTCTCTGCCTGGTTTCCTGTCATCCTATCTGCTGGAGTGCCTTGGGTGGTGCCGCCACACACAGACCTCTATGAGATATGCTGATTTTTCAGGGAGTAAAATATGGGAGACAGGGTCAAGCCTCTCATTGCCAGGATTTTATAATGGTACACTGGTATTTATCACAAACACTAATGCGTAACTACCCACTACATTATGATAAATATTAACTTGAACCAGTGATTCCTTGCTATTATCAATTTATTATGAATATTAAAGACTAATTATTCACATGTTTGATGTTTGGGTTTTACTCTTTGCTTTCCTCACTGAGCACGTTTTACTGTGCTAGGATAAAGGTGATAGGAATCTGACTGCCTTCAGGGAAATCCGTGGCAACCTGCTGCTGTGGCAGAACTGGACCTTAGTTTGGGCTGCAAAGTTTGCAGGAAAAGGAGTCCATGTGGGGTCTTGCAGATTGCTTGAGTCAGGGAGTGACAGAGTGGGGAGGAAACAAAGTGAAGAGGAAAAGAAGGTGCAGGGCCCCAGGAGACAGCAGAGGGAGGAGCCTGGCCACAGGGCTCTTCTGAGAGTGGTGGGTGAAGAGGGCAGAGAGAGGCTGCAGACCCTTCAGCTGCCTTCCCGCTGAAGAGAGATAGTGCATGCATCACTGGGGCAGGTTAGGCAGATTAGCTGGTACAATTCAAAGCAGGAGGAGGAAAAGCATTTTGGTAACTCAAGGAAGGGAGCAGTGTGAGAGTTTGAACACGAAAACTCCAGTGCAAACAAGAAAGACTGGGACAGGGGTTCAGAGCCTATGGAAACAGGACAGTCAGGCCTGGGGTCTGACAGGAAGTGAGAATGGTTAGTGAGCAAGCTGGCCTCCTCTCTGGGGGGTTTCTGGGGGAGCAGGGGCTTGCTGGTGGTGGCTGAGTAGTGCCACGCCTGAACAGCTTCCTCTCAAACCAGGAGGAAGGATTTCAAGACTGATTTTAAGATGAAGGCAGGGACCTGCGAGCGCCCTCCTCTTGTTCTGGAAGCTGCCTCTGGCACAGAGGGCTCATTAAGCTCTTGCTGCCTGATTCCAGGAGGTGGAGTGGAGCTAGTCAAATATTATGGGCTGGTAGATTTTTTGGAGATTTAAAATTCAGAATTAGTTGTATTATTATTGATAGCATTATTCAGGCATGTATTTAATCATGCTGAATTTTGGTAGTTTGTGTGTTTTGAGAAATTTTTGCATTCATCTATATTTTAGAATTTATGCATGTCTTATAGTTGTTTGTAGTAATTACCTTTTATTCATTTAATATCTGTGTGGTACAAACTTACATCCTCACTGTACTGAGAATTTTGATCCTAATTGCTTTTTTTCTTCTTGGTAGGTCGGAGTTGATGGTTAGCAGTTGTTGGTGATTTGGAGATTTTCTCTCTTAGTTATTATAGAATTTCCTTTGTTTCACACCTGGAATCGAACTCAGGACCTTGTGCTTGCCAGGAGGCACTTGTGCGGCTGAGCTCTACCTAGGGCCCCACCATTGTCTTTTTAAAATATATTGATTTCTGCTTTGTTATTTAATTCTACTTGCTCAAAGTCTATTTTACTCTTACTTTTCCAGTTTCTAATGCGCAGTGCTCCACCGAATTTCTTGAATAACCGATGAGGCAGATGTCCTGTGAACTCAGAGTCCTCTCCCTGGGCCTGGAGTTCTGCAGTGGGAAAGTATTCGCGGAGACGTCCTTCTGCTTCAGCACCAGCAGGTGGCGTCCTTTCTCTTTAACAGCATCTACAGGTTTCCCAGGCAGACTTCCCGTGGTTAAACCATGCGCCAGAGTGAGCTTGCTCAGGAGTTTCAGAGCTGAGAAACCTGGAACTGTGGAATCCAGCTTGTGAGGGGGAAGCACTGCAGCAAGGCTGAGGGCTTCCTCTGCGTCCCCACAGCACAGTGTTCCTCTGCCAAGGAGGAGGTGGAGGGGACCTCCACCTGGTGCAGCACCAATGCCTTTCCCAGGGGGAAGACCTGCTGCCCCAGCTGCCCTTTGAGTTGCTGGCTTCAGTTGTTTTCTTTCAGTATTTTTTTCCTTCCCCTTCCCCTTCTTTCCCTTCACCCTCTCTTGCTCTCCTTCCCACTTGAGCCAGTTCTTCTCACTTTCCTGTTCGTACCCTCTATCATCCCCTCCCTGCCTTCAGCCTGTGCTGTAGGTGTCAGACCAGTCAGCCCAAAAACTGAGACCACCTCCATCCAACCCTTAAATTCTAAATCTCTCTCTGTCTGTCTCCCTCCCTCCAATTTCCATTTTCTTGGAAAATTTTAATACAATCTTAATTACTAATTTCCAAAAATGTTAAAAGGTTATAGAAATTTGACTTACTTACGTTGATTGATTGGTTACAGTGCTGGAGACTGAGCCTATCACCTTGCAAGTGCTAGGCAAGACCTCTGCCACTGAGCAATGTCCCTTACTTTGTGTTTGTCTTTTGTGATTAAATGCTTTAAATTATGTGTTTTTCATACTTCTTTCCTTAAATGGGATGGCCCATTCTGTGTGTTCAGTTCAAATTTCAATTTGGCTTTAAGAGATATATATGAAATCCTTTTTATTTGACTAAAAATCCTTATTTTGTACTAAATAAATACAGACATTAAATGAAGACACTGAATTAAATGGTTTGTTAAGGTTTAAGTCTGGATGTCCCCCCAAAGCCTCACACAGTCATAGGGATGGACTCCAGTTTGTGACTAATTCATGGTCCAGTGCTGGGATTATAGGTGTGAGTGCTACCCCTGCCCTAGGGTGGGTAACCTACACACCATGTAAGGGGCGGCTTCTGTCTGTGCTCCTCTCTTTTTGTTGCTGCTTTTGGTGTATTCCACCACCATCACCACGAACCGTTGCCCTCTGCCTTGGAGTCATCTTTGGCTATTCTGTAGGGGAGATCCTGGTCAGAGCTCAGGAGTCCAGAAGGCAGATAGAAAGCCTGCTAGTAACCATTTGGTTTATGTCCCTCAAGGATGCATTGTGCTGAAACAGGTTTCCTTTGGCAATGGTCAGTGCATGCTTGGATGACCAGAGGGCTCAAGGAGCTACACAGGACACTGCCCATGGACAAGCAGCTTGGAGTCCTGCACCTGGACTCCTCCCTTGCAAGGGGATGACTATTTCTGATCAAACCCATCTGATACTGAACGTGCAGGGTTTCCCACAGTAACCACTGGGTCTCTGGGAAGTCAGCTCTGGCGTGATGTTATCTATGTGGAGCTGGGTCCATCTCTGGAGTGATCCAGACTTAAGTCTGTTTAGTTCTAACAGTTACTGGATCTTTGCAGGGTCATGAACTTGCTCACTGCACACACTGGAGAAACCAACACCCCATGGCAGAAATTATTATAAACAGGAGCATCACATAAATTTAATGTAGATGTGTGTGACTCCCACAGACACGACAGTATCAGCAAGACGATAGCACACGTGGTGATGTGACACATTAGAGCAATTTAGCTGAGGTCTTGGTATTTAGCAGAAATGCAAACAAAGCACAGTATTGTCGCTGTGGCCTGAACGTGGTATGGGAGCGCCAGTGTCTGATGTCCTCCCTGGCCTCCACTGTGCCCTGCTGGTGTCCTGCCTGCAGACCCTGTTGGCCCTGGCCTCGCTCGTCCTCCTGGGCAGTGACCAGGGTCTCTGCTATTTTTGGGCCCCCATGGTGTGGCAGGTCCCTAGTGCCAGGCGGCCCAGCGCCCCTTTCATGTTCCTGTTCCTCAGGGACTAGATGAGCAGGTTGAGCGCGGGAAGAGCGCCACTAACTTGCCCTGCTCATGGGAGCCGCTCCTGGCCCACAGCAGGTACATGAAGACGATGCTGCCATAAAACAGGGCCACCATGGCCACGTGGGCAGAGCAGGTGTTTAAGGCCTACCTGATCCCCTTGGCCGACCTCATCCTCACCACGGCCCTGGTGACCGTAGGATGTGAGGATCAGCCCCAGGGGCAGCACCACAAAAACGAAGCTGGCCAGGTACATCTCCAGCTCGTGCAGGCTGGTGTCCACGCAGGCCAGCTGCATGATGAGGGGCATCTCGTAGAAGAAATGGTCGATGCAGTTGTTCCCACACAGCGGTAGCAGCACGGTGAGTGTAGAGCCCACCAGGCTGGTGCTGAGGCCACCCAGCCAGGAGAGGCAGGCCAAACCCACGCAGAGCTGGGGGCTCATGAGGGCCGCATCATGCAGGGATCTGCAAACGGCCGCGCAGTGGTCGTAGGACATGACAGCCAGCAGGACGCACTTGGTGGCACCCAACCAGTGTGAGATGTAGAACTGGGCCTCGCAGCCCCCGTAGCTGATGGTCTTCCGGAGCCCGCAGAGGTTGATCAGGAGCTGGTGGACGATGCTCGTGGTGAAACTCATGTCCAGGAAGGACAGATTGGTGAGGAAAAAGTACATGGGTGTTTGGAAACACACGTCCCCACAGGAGACCAGCGTGATAACTGCGTTGCCCATGATGGACACCCCATAGAACCCCGCCACAACCTCGAAGAGGGCTGGCTCCAGCGATGGGTGGGCTAAGAAGCCCAGGAGCACAAACACAGCGGGAGAGCCTCTGTTGGCGGGGTCCACCATGGTCTTGGCCAGGGAAGGGGCAGGAGGCTGGCTGAGGGTGGGCTTGGAGTGGCACAGCTGTCACATCATCGTGTCACCAGGAAACCTGCACTCATGCAGTGCTCTCAGAGCACTGGGCACACAGCTGCCTACTCCCCTCTCTTCAGCAGCCTGAGACCTGACAGAGGGCTCAGAGACAGTCTGAGCTCGTGACTTGGCCCAGGGCTGGGGCTGCAGTCTCACTCCTCACAACAGTGTCCAGTTTCGTCCCCACACTGAGTGCTGAGGAATCCCCAGCCAGAGAGGGGCCCATGGGTGGCCCACAGCATGGGCAGGAAATGGACCCCTCCATTCTGCACCTCTGTGCCCAGGCAGCACTGCCCTCTGGATCCTGCTCTAACTAGCTCACCGTCTCAGTCCCCACCCCTACCCAGGCTGTTCTCAGCAAGCAGGGAACCTCCAGGGTGGGGGTGGGAGGCAGCTGTTGCTCTGCTGTCAACACCCAGAGTCAGGACCAACCACAAGACAGTGTCCTGTATCTGCGACCACCACACCCTCCCTCCCCTCCTTCAGGTCATTTTCCAAAGTCACCCCACACCTCAGAACTTCTTCCCCAGACACATGACCTCACCACCTGGCCCCCTTCTCTCCCTTTCGGGGTTATTTTTAGAAATCACCACCTTGAAATGCACTATTGCACTCTGTCATCACCCCTCACCAGAGTAAAACTCCCAGACAGCCACGATCCCCCTCTAGCTGTGTTTGCCTCTTGGGGTGCAGTGCTGAGCCCAGTGCCTGGCACAAGGAGGTCACTACTGGGGTCCTGGAGGTGCTGCATTGGGACAGTAGTCTGCAGTGATGGGGATCACACAGCACATTCAGGGGAGACCTCCCAGGACTTTGGATCCATGCAGAGGGCCCAGGACTTTGGTTGTGGACCTCAGATGGAGGGGAACACATGGGCAGGGCAGACTCTGTATAGAGTCAGAGGTTGATGAGGAGCCTCCTGGGCAGGCTGAGCATCACCTGTCCCTGAAGACTTGCTGGGCAAAATAATCTCTGTGAGTATAGTCTAGAGGAAAGGAGGAAAGAAAGAAGGGAAAAGATTATATATATATATATATATATATATATATATATATGCTTTTATTATTTGATCATCTTTTCATTCCTAAATCTTATAATCTGAACAACTACTTTGAAGATAACCATGTGTAATATATTAACCAGTGTTAATCTCCTATTATTTTATTTTGAAATTCTGTATCATCATTTTTATTACTTTTTTCATTTTAAAATGTAGTCCTACATTTCAAAAAGAAGAATGCACATATTATATTTAGAGCCACCTGACTGGGGACAGAGCAGCTGTAAACTTAATCCCAGAGCATTAGATAACTTAGCTGCCTCTGGAACCCAAGGTTGATCAAACAAAAGAACCTGACCCTCATGCATGTTTGCAGCATTTTAAGATGCATTTGGTGGTGTGATTGCACAGGTGAGTGGAATCCAAAACACCTGATGCCCGTGGAGCTGAGGGCAAGCATAATGTTCTAGGGGAGGGAGCGCTGATCCCACCTTGCTCCCAGCCTGGTGTGTGAAGAACCAGCAGAGCTCATCACTGTGTGTAAACATCCTGTGTCAATAAAGATTCAAAATGAAGCACTCGCTGGATGCTTCCCCCATGCCTGTGTGGCAAAGAGGCCAAGGGCACTAGGTGTGTCTGCCTGGGGACACTGACACCCTGGTGGGGGGCTGTGTTTAGGGGACACATGCGAGGTCCTCCAGACCAGGGTGCTGCTGACACCCACAGAACACAGCATATCATGAGGAGTTGGGAGACAAGAGGGAGAGAGGGCAGCTGGCCAAGAGTGAGGCGCTCCACAGTGATGAGTGTCACAGGTGAACAGACAGACAGACAGAGGCTGACATGATCCCTGTGGGTGAGACAGAAACAGTGGTGACACACTGTCAGCAATGTGTTGAGTGTGCATGATCACCAGGTTTGGGGCACTGGTTCCAAGGGCTTGTGTTCTGATCCATTCCAGGATGAGCTCCATGGCAACCCTAAGCCACCAGGCAGTGCAGCAGGGCCGAGCTGCACCTCACATCCAGGTTTTGAACTCCGAGCTGACACCCACATGAACAGAGGAGGTCCATTCCCAGCAAACACTCACCCCTTGGCATGTGCGCTGCGTCTGTGCTGAGCCTCGGTGACTGGAAAGGTTCTGTGGAACAGTTGGGAAAAATCCAAAGTCCACGTTCACTGCCTTAACTGTGGAGTCACAGATTCTCCCCAGCTGCTGAAACCTGAAGGCTGGAGACCATTTGATGGTTCTGTGTCCTCCACCTTCACCACAGTTAGCAGGGAGTCTGGGACTCAGAGTGTATCTGACACCCAAGCACTCAGTGAGGGGACCTGACTCCAGCAGCCACCCCTGGCTGGGTACCAAAGAGCAGGGACCTGGGCGATGATCCTCTTCATGGAGTCATAGCTGTCAGTGCAGGGTGTGCTGGGCACAGGAGTGCAGCAAGAGCCCCCACAGCCCCACTGGGACCTGACATGTGTTGGTGGCAGGCAGAGTATGTGCAGAAAGCTCCATTCTGACATCTTCAGGGTGCGCCGGGCTAGGAGAAGAACATGACTTTCTGAGCAGATTCATGGTCCCCAGGCTGAGGCTCCCCGTGTTTCCAGAAGTAGGGGCACACAAAGCCCTGAAGGATGCATGATCTGACTTCTCCAGGGAGCACCAGGGAGACAGAGGACACTGGCTCATAGGGGAGTGAAGTCCAAGGGAGAAAGCTCAGGGACACTTTCCCTGCTGCATAGTTACAGTCTCACTGTGGTGTGCACAAGGAATGACTTCTTCATGGGCAAAGACTGGTTATTCTGCACTCCATCAGACCCCACGCACAGAACACAATTCTCTTCACCCAGTGCTCTGTGATATGAATGGTAGTGCCATGGACTGAAATATTTGCTCATTAGACTCATTTAGGCACATGCTGCTGACCATTGTATTCCCTAACCATGGCATTGTTGGTGTGTACCTTAGCAATGAGCTATCCTTTTCTTAATAGAATAAATTTGATTTTATTACAATGAAAGACACACGGCATTAAACTTATTAGTATGCCTATCTTCAAGTAGAAAAGTTAGTGAAATAAATCCACTCAGAGTACTGTAGAGATCTCTTACTTTGTTTAATTTCTAAGTTTAATTTTTCCTGCTGTCACTGTGGATTTCATTTTTTCCTAATTTCTTTTTTAGTAAACTCATGGTTTTTGTAAAATAATGCTATTGATTTTTGAGTGTTGACTTTGTATCCTACTACACTGCTGAATTCTGTTACTAATTCTTGGAATCATTTGGTGGGTTTTTTGGGGGTCTTTAATGTAAAGGACCCTGTTATATGCAAATTGAGATAATCTGACTTCTTCCCTTCTTTCAAATATCTCTTTTAATTAATTAATTAATTTTGCCTGCAGTTTTTGAGGACTGCACTGAATGGGAATGGTGACAGAGAACATTCTTGTCTTGTAGTTGACTTTAGAGGGACTTTTCAGGTTTCCAGTTTGTTTTGCTGGCATAGGTTCATTGTAAGCGGCTTTCATCATTGAAAAGGGCCCTTGCACACCTGTTTCTTTCAAGATATTTTTAAAAATCATGAATGGATGCTGGGTTTTGCACAGGTTTTTTTTGGCATCTGTTGGGAGGATCTTGTGATTTTTGTCCCTCCATTTTTGCATTTAGTTAGATTATACTTATTGATTTATGGACGTGGAACCATGCTGGGATCCCTGGGATGAATCCTACTGGTTCTTGATGTATCATATTTTTTGGTGATTGCTTGCATACTATTTGTATTTGTTTTGTTGAGGATTTTTTAATCTATATGTGTAGGGAGTGGTGTGACAGCCCCAGTGCTGCCTCCCTGGGGCTCTCTCCTATGGGCACATGATGCATCTGCCTACATTAACCATAATACTCTCCTGCTTATGTCACATACCCAGACATGACGATGACCCATCAGAAATGACCCCGTAGCCTCTTCTTGTCCCACCAGCCCACCCTTGGCCCATAATGGATGTGACCACTTCGTGAATAAACGAGGCTTGATCGGACTGACTTACTTCAATCTCTCTTTGTCTCCCCCTGTTTTATTCATCCCTGTTCCCCCTCCAGGTATACCCCATGGATTGATCTGTGGGCTGGATCATATATGCAATAAAGAGATTGGCTTAAAACTTTCTTTTTAGCTGATTTTCTTTGAAGAAATCTCTATTCTACTTCTTTTACCATTAAAAATTTTTTTTGAATCTGTTTGTTGATGAGATATAAGAATTCTGTATATATTCTGAAAACGAGAGCCTCAAGAGATACATGCTTTACAGATTTTCTTTCACTGTTCATAGGTATTGTTTTTACACTCTTGGTGGGCCAAAATTTTCAATGTTTTATTGGTCCACATTTGCAATACATACCAACGATATTCATCAGGGGGAGTTTGTATGTGTATGGGACACATCTTATTTCTCTTTCCCCCTTTCCCTGCCCCTTTCTCCGGCCCTTCTATCCTGTTTCATTTGAAAAGCTTGTGCATTTGACCCAGCTTTCTCCTCTGGGTGTCTCCCCAAAAGAGTTAAAGCTCTCATTCCACAGGTTTCAGTTTGTTGAAGGCAGGCTCATCTGTTTCATTTCTTTTTCTGGTCCCTTTTTGCTGTTATGGTTAACTATCCATCGACTAATCCAAATAATGAGTATTTGCTAGGATGGTTCTTTGGTAAGAACTTTATGTATATCTAGGTTTTTAACCTATCTGAATTAAGCTCTCGTATGTGGGTAGGGCAGGGAGTCAGTCTTTATTCTCTGGCAGATATGCTTTCAGTCATTACTTTCCCCCCAACACTTCATCAAAATCAATCAGTAAAGATGTCTAGAGCTATCTACCCACCCAAACTCTCTTACATTGGCCTAGTTTTATATGACTAGTTTTAGAGTGTGTTCAAAAATTTGGAAATGTGAGTCTTCAAACTGTATTATTGTGGTTGGTTTTTAAAGTTATTTTTTCTATTAAGGCTCAAATGAATTTGAGAACTGAATTTCACATTTACATAAAAATAGCGGAGTGTGTACATGATGTAATACCGCTCAGTCTTAAAGAAGGGTAAATTCTAGGTGTTTGTGGGAAAGGATGGATCTCAAGACCATAATGCTAAGTGAAATAAGTCTTACACAGGAGGTGAAATGTCACATGGTTTCTCTAACATGAGAAACCCAAAATACAAATAATTTCAAAAGCAAAATAAAAGCGAGGTGGCAGGAAGTAAGGGGGTAGACTCAGTGGAGACAGGAGCACTCTGGGAAGGAAGATGGAGGAGGGAAGAGGAGGGAGGAGAGGGGAAGGGAGAGAGGGCGGTGGGGCTAATGTGCTCAGCATGTGACTTGCGCACGTGCCCCCATTATTTGATGCCTTTGCCAACAAGCCTGGGCTCTCCTTGACTGGCTGAGGGTTAAAGGACAAAGCTGATCTGTACTGCAGGGAGCTGCCTCTTTCCCTGAGGAGTCTTTTCACTCCAGTTCATTCATACAGATCACAGTCTCATAACCGTTACCACAGGCACACTGAGAAGCTCCCTGCATCAGTCACTTTCCCACAATGGAACACGATACCTCCCACCTGCAGCTTCAGGAGGAGATGCTTATCTGGGTTCACAGTTTCAGTGGGTTCAGTCCGTGGTCTGTTGGGGCCAAAGCAGAAATGGCCTGGTAAGGAAAATCTGTTCCCATCATGCCTGGTAGGAAGCAGAGAGAGAAGGGTGGAGCCAAGGGACATGAATCCACTCTTCCAGGTGTTGCCCCATTGGGTGACTACCTCCAACAGGGCTCAGCCCCAATAGCTCATTCAGCCAGGAATTCATCCATGGACAAGTCCACCGAGGTACAGCACCCCAAAGATGCAAGCACTTCCACACACGAGGATCTAAATCACCAGCAACATCTGTTTCAGACCTCTCGCTGTACACGGCACTATGCACTATGTCTGCAGTACCCGCCTCTGGGGTTGAGTCTCCTGCCTCAGGTGAGGAGGCACTGAGCTGCCTCTGGGCTGAGTGCCCTTTCTGTGTCTTAGAGCCTTTCTTCCCTGGACCTGCTGAGCTGTATCTAACACTCCCCAAGGGCAGAGTGTGGCTATGGCCCGGGCTGTCCTGAGCAAGATTGTATTTGCTGTTGTGTAGGATGAAGAACAGAGCATTAGAAACAGAAGGAACTGGATGTGGTCCCATGGTGTCACCACACAGCCAAGGTCGTGGGCACTCCCATCGGCTGCGCAACGCTTCCTGGTGTTCAAGGCACAGTGTGATCGCACAGCCATGGTCAGCACTTTCTCGTGGTGAGAGGCCTCTTGTGATACACATCACTTGGTTGTCAGCCCAAGGGCAGCACCACAGCCGCCCACGCTCCACCTCTATCCCCGCCTGTGTTGTCCTTTCCTCCCCAGCTTTGGGAACAGTCTCCAGTCTCCACCTCTATGAAGTCAGACTTGACTACTGTGTGCCATTCAAAAAATACCCCTGCATTTTAAAAATAAAGGGGAGCTCTGCGTACTTTTGTGAAGCACATGAAGATATTACTGCGTGTGACCTGGGTGGCCCAGAATGAGGCAGGGTAGTTACAGCTCTTGGACCCTATGTTAAAATTATGGACTCTTGAAGACAAGCCAGATCAATGGCTGTGGTCCACTTAACCAGGGGTGAGAGGGGTCCCTGTAATCCATTCTTACAGTCACCTCCACTTAGTAAATGTAGTGTCTTCTATTAGATCAATTGAGATTTATTTATTTACTTATTTTTGAAGCTATGGAATTGTGTGATGGTTTTTCTTTTCTTTTCTCTCTTTTTTTGCATATTTTGTAAGTTAACTCCCATCTGAGGTAGAATGTTATCTTGTGTTCTGTAAGTTGCCTTTCACAGCACAGTGCCTGTAGTTTATAAGGTTTTATGCACATAACCTTTTGTGCAGAGGGTAGAGCTCACCTCAAATGTTCATCAGGAAAATAGAAGCAAAAAGACTCTGAGAAGTGCCAGGAGATGGCTGGGAGTGGAGTGTGTCGCCAAGACTGTGGGGTCAACAGCATGACTGCATGATTGTCCACACTAGGAGGACTGCACACATTAATTAGCATACTCTTAAAACCCCAATTGTCCCTTTCCACGTAGTGGAGGAAAGACAGTGGCCCTCGAGAGCATCTTTCACAGGTGGAAGGGTGCATGCAAGGGGCGACCTCCCTTTAGGGAATTTTAAGTGGAGGGCATGCGCCAGTGTTCATGGCATGAATGCTGAGTCTCAGGCACAGGGAGGTGCAGGACTGCAGCAGTCATGTGGGTGTGCAGAGACAGTGGGATGACCACACAGCTCATCCATGTGTGCAGACATGTCGCTGTGTGCCACAGGATGTACAGATCGATATTGTGCCCCCCACAAACATAATTAAAAATATACTCCACAGATTGCTAATGTGATGTGGGTCCTGTATTTATAGCACTTTTATTTTTTCTAATCTATGATTTTTAGATCTTCTACCCCCAGCATATGATAATCTAATCAGCAAAAGCACATGCTGTCAGACATCTGGCACTGGAGGTGGAGGCGAGAGGAGACTTGGATGGTCAGTGTTGATGAAAAACCTTCCTCTTCCTGGACAGGAAAACCAGAGCCTGCTGGCAGGAGGGGGAGAGAAAGAAGCACAGGCTCCAAGCAGGAGGGAGCAGGGAAGGACCTGAGCCAGTGCGAGTCAAAGCAGCACCTGGGAGAGTTATCTTTTGCTTTCCCTGTGGTGCCCAGGGTCTGCATGAATCTGGCCACCTTGTCTGCTCCCCTGATTGACTCATAGGTCCCCCACCTCTGTGAGGTCTGGTCCTTTTCCAGCTGGGTTCCCCCAGGGTGGCACAGAGATGCCAAGGGAGCTGGATGCTCTGGATCTCTGCAGGCTCTGCCTTGCCTTTGGGGACTGATGAGCTCATTTTTGATTCACAGAAATCAGAGCAAGGATGGCACACAGCTGTGTGGCAACAGAGCCTGGCACCCAGCTCTGTCCAACCCAGTAGACCTCAGCAGCCAGCCCCATCTCCAGAGCACTCGTGCTGCTGGTCACCAGGACTGGGATGTAGATCTGGCTGAGTGCAGGCTGCAGCAGGGCCAGCCTGTCATGGTTTATGTCTGTGTTCCCCAGGCCTCATGAGTTTGCATTGTGCATTTGTGATGGTTCATTGTCTAGTGCTTGGATTAATGGTGTCAGTGCTCCACCCTCAAAGGTGTGGATCCAGGATGTGATGTAATGGCAGGAAGAAGGTGTGTCTTTTTCTTTGTTGGTTTCTGCTTGCTGTTTGCAGTGGCCATGAACTGCAGCCCAGCCATGTCTTCCTGCCTTGGAGCCATCCGAGTGTGGACTGAAACCTCCAAAAACTGTAAGAAATAAACCTTTCCTTTCCCAACTTGGGCTTCAGGTATTTTGTCTCAGCAATGAGTAAAAAGTAACCAAGACACGGCCCAAACAGAAGGAGTCAGCAGCCACACTGAGCAGGACCCAGAGGCTTGGCAAGCGGCAGTATGTCCGTCTCCACTATGCATGAGGCCACCCATAAAGCTGAAGCTGGCAGTGTGACACTCCAGTTCTCTGTACACTCTCACGTTCACAGTTAATGACAGAATATCATTCTGCTCATGGTTAACAGCTGACTCCTGGTCTGGGCTTCCTGTTTGGGAAAGAGTTGGAACAGGCGCTTGTCCAGCTCCTGAGCTTGGCAGACCCAGTGCCCAGAGGCGGGAGACCAGCAGTACCCAGGAGCCTCAGCTCAGTGAACAGGCTCTTTCTCCCCTGCCAGGGATGCCCGGGTCGGTGGCCAGCTAACTCCGTGGTGACACGTGGCCTTGACATTATCACAGTGGCCAGCTTGTCCCTGTGGCCACAGTGGGCGTGAGGGAGGAAGTGGAGGCCTGGATGGTGGGCAGTGCCTTGGCTATGCATCCTTTCTCCCTTCGTGTGGATGCAGGGCTGCACTGGCAGCCAGGCCACCTCAGATGGCGGTGACCTGTGCACCTGCTCCCGGGATACTCAGACTGCTAAGAGGACACTGATGTGTGCTTTCATTTTTATGGCCCAAGCCACAGAAATAATTACAGCTGTTTTTTTCTTTTTCTGAGAAGAGGCTCTGTGTGTTTGCAAAAGAACAATGTGACTGCAAGATCCAGCTCCCTGAGTCCTGAGAGCGCAGGGCCTCAGCTGCCCAGTCTTGCAGTCCTGGAATCAGGCTGTGTCCTCCTGTCTCAGCCTGCCTTTTCCTATGCTGCACACACTGGCGCATGCGTGCACACTGTCTCACACCCTCCCCTTTCCCCTCCTCTGCTGTGTGTCCTGCCTTCCTGGTGACCTGTGCCCTGCGCTCAGATGCAGCAGCCCTACAAGGAGGGCAGCCAAGAGTGAGGAGCGGCGGGAAACCATGGGCAACGCCGTCCTGCGGGCACTTGGGTGAGTCCCGACTCAGCTGGGGTCACCTTGGAGGCTAGGGCTGTGCTGCCACTGTGGGACCGGGGGTCCCAGAGTGTGGGTCCGAGTGAGGCACTGCTTATCTGGAATTCAGATTTAGTGAGACCTTTACCTGCTTTGCAGGGAGCTTTCTGCTTTTCTCATCCTTTTGCTGGGGTGCAGGACTGGCCACCCCACCTGTGGCTTCATGGCTCAGCCTGAGAATGAGTCCTCAGGGTCTTAGAAGCTGATGCTGTACACCCCAAACCCTGCCGTGGGGCATCTTTTCTTCTGGGGCTGTTCAACCCTGGGCACTTCAGTGCTTCATAGATGGAAGAGCCGGCGTAGATTGCAGCTGGCTCTGTGGTTGTGCTCGGGGGTCTCCAGCATGGGCTTTGCAGCTCCCACCCCACCCTCCCTGCTGAGCCCGCATGGAGAGGCTCACAGGGCCCTGCCACCTTACTCTGCCTCAGCAGAGCGCTGGTCACCACTCCTGTGTCCTCGGGACCAGGCACTCTGTCCCTGTGAGCCAGCATCTCAGGCAGGCGTCTCGCTGTGGTCTGCAGACTCTGCTGTCATCACTGCCTGAGTTTTCTCTCCTCTCTATGAATGTGGCCTCTCTTCATGCTGGCTTCACACCAGTGCCTCCTGTCTCACAGCAAGTCTTTCAAAGGCTGGGGTCAGGAGTCCCTGTGTGCCCCCAGAGCAGTGGGGGAGCCCATGGCTTCAGTGGCCTGTTTGTTATCACCAAAAGGTGTAAAGTTTCCCCATCGCTGTCCTGGAGGTTGGCATGGAGCAGAGCTGTAGGGTGTGCACTGGCTGGTGAATTAAATGTGCTTTTCTGTCTTAGACATGTGTGGATCTTGGCTTTTGTTGGCATCCACTGCTCTGGTGAGGTTTCCACTTCAGGACCCTGTGCCTGGCTGAAGGTCTTGCCCTGAAGTGCATTTGCAATCATATTTACCTATCAAAATGTTCAGTCCACAGCGCCCAAGGGCAAGACTGTGTCCTCCTGGCTGCTGCCTGAAATTATTCCTTTGGTACTTTTGTAGGCTGCATTCCCCAAATGTGTCACCCTGCCTGGGTAACCATGCCACGGCTCTTTGAGAGTATTTGTCTGTGAGGGTTAATGAAATCTCTGAAATCTGTGGAACAGTTTGCAGAAACAAGGCTCTGAGTGGGTGTTTCTGGCAGGTTTGGAGAAGCATGTAAAGTTCTGTCTGAAATCAGGGGAGCGCAGGACAAATTGAGTTTGAGTGCTGGGGCTATAGAACCTCTGCTTCCCTCTTCTCCCTCTGTCGTTTCTAAAATGCTCCCATGTGTACCTGTTGCCATGTTCCTGCAGGATCACCATCCTTTCTGAAAACAGCCTCAGACTGCTCTGTTTTATAGATTCTTACAATTTTCATTAGAGTGTTTGCAGTGCATACTGCTCCACTTCTCGAGGGGAGTGGGTCCGTGTGCATAATGACCTTCCTTTATAAACGTTAAAGCAGTGAGAGGACAGACTCAGTTCCTCCTCGAGGTGAGTGAGAGGCCCAGATGGCAGCACTGTTCTGAAGCCAGGCAGTCAGAGGGGGAGGAAAACCCAGGTGATCCACCTGGGAGCTCCTGTGCTGAGTCTGTGTATGAGGGCAGCCGGGCGTTGTCCTGCATTCTCAGTTGCTGGGGAGGGAGCTCTGGGCTCAGCCAGGCCTGAGGCTTGAAGTGACTGGAGCTGTCTGGGTCTCAGTGCCAGGACTACTGCAGAGTGATCGCCTGACTGTCCTGCTTTGTGCCAGCAGGGGCTGTTACTGTTACTTTTGCCCTCACTTACTCTGAACTTGGAAAAAACACAACACTGAATATTAAATAGGCCACGCAATTGGACATATTAGTTGGTGCTTATTCCCAGGAAAGAGAAGAGATATTTCCTTAGGGAGGCTCAGGAGGACAGCTGAAGGACTTTGCTAAGAGGTCAGAGAGAAAGGAGGTGATTTCCTTACAAAAGCAGGTGGGTCCCACAGGAGAAGCCAGGAACGGAAGGGGCTCCAGGGTGGGGGAGCAGGGAGGGCTGAGGCCTTGCTCAGCAAGGAAGGCATCCATCCACATCTGCAAGCCGGGGAAGCTGTCAGGCAGCCATGCTCCAGGGAGGGAGGTGTCTCCTGGGGACAAGGACATGATGGAGACTGCAGGTGAGAAGCTGGCACTTCACACCAGCCTGAGGCACTGACTGCTCAGAGCCATCAGAAGGAAGGAGCTCCAGGGCAGGGAATACACACTTCCTCGGGTCCCAGCATGGGGACACAGGCTGTCACCTTACCCCCCCCCCCAGCCCAGCAAGTGCAGCCCCTGGCCTAGCAAGTGACAGGGTCCCTGGAGGCCTAGAGCCCAGTGCCCAGGGCTGCAGCTCCTGCAGGCCAAACACGGGATAAGCAGTCACGGGAGTGGGGGCAGTCACTCAGTGGCCACCGCTGAGTCACATCCTCTGCCCTGAGATAAGGATAAGCAGTTCCTCTTCTGGGGGCCTCGTCCTGCTGGGGCCAGAAGGAGAAATGGCCTTCAGTTATGTCCTCGAGCCACTGATGGAGTCCTCTGAGAAGGGTGAGGTCCTGTCTGCATCATTTGAGGAGGGACTCAGCACAGCACCTCATCCTAGGCACAGTGGGTGTCCTTGGTGCATGGACACAGCAGGAGACGGTTCAGCTTGCCTGGCAGTCAGGGTCAGGCTCAGCCACACCCCAGTGAGGGAGTCACTATTCACTCCCGAAGACACCCAGGGCTGGTGGTGGGTTCCAAGGGCTGGGCAGAAAGGCAGAACCAGGTCTCCACCCTCCCTCAAAGGGCCTGGAGGCCGCCTTCTTAGAGAGAGGAGGACATCGAGCCAGAGAATGGGAGGCAGAGAGAGGGCTCGGGCTTGAGTACAGCGTCGACTGTGCCAGTTCCGGGCCTGGCGGGACTGCCTGAAGCCACATCCACACCCAGGGCGAGGGCCACAGGGAGGCAGGGGAGCCCAGCTTCCCGCCCGCTGACTATCCTGGCAATGCCTTTTTACCTTACAAAAGTGGAGCAAACAGGGAGTTAGGAGTTTTCCAAATAGGCTGAGGTTCAGTGACCTTTTCATATCTTGTATCCATCTTCTAATACACTTGAGTGTGCTTTAGAGATGGAGAGGGCCGGGGTGACACTCAGAGGGGAGCACCTGTGTGGCATGTGTGCAAGATGAGAGAGAGAGACAGGGACATAGTGACAGGGAGAGACAGAATGAGAGAGATAGAGTCAGAGACACGGAGAGAGTGAGACATGATAGAGAGAGAGAGAGAGAGAGAGAGAGAGAGACAGAGACAGAGACAGAGACAGAGAGACAGAGAGAGAGACAGACAGAGACAAATAGAGAGCCAGTGATAGAGACGGAGAGAGACAGAGACAGAGAAAGAGACATACACACACACACACACACACACACACACACACACATACACAGAGAGAGAGAGAGACAGAGAGAGACACAGAGAGAGAAGAGACAGAGACAGGGAACAGAGAACAGAAACAGAGGCAGAGAGAAAGTGACAGACACAGAGAGTGACAGAGAGACAGGAGGACAGAGACAGAGACAGAGAGAAACAGACCCAGAGACACAGAGAAAACTGTGAGCAGTGGTCCCACTCCGAGGCCAGGGTGAGCCTGTGCATCTTCTAGGGCTCAGAGCTCGACTGGGTCTCCTCAGCTCTGGTCTGGGGGGAGACCTCAGTGTGCGAACCCACCCTCACACCTCTGCTGCCCTCCTTTCTTGCCCATCCTCAGTTTCTCTGACCCTCCTCTCCTGTGAGGATTCTGAGTTCAGTTTCCAGCCCTGGAGCACCTCACCCTCTGAGCTCAGCGCTGCATTCTTGACAGGGGTGCGTGATGCTGGCCGTTGACTGAGGTCCTTTCCCCATGCTTGCTCAGCGGTGTGTCTGAGCTGGGTCATCATGAGAGTAGGTATGTGTGCATGTGAGTGCACACGTGTGTGGTGCTGGGGACAGGGCCCCAAGCCTTGCATGTGTTAGGCAGTTGTTCCCCACTGAGTGGCACTCCTGGCTCTTTGCATTTTTGTTTTGAGACAGGATCTTGCGGGGTTTCAGGGTTGGCCTGGGTCTCAAGATCTTCCTGCCCCGGGCGCCTGAGTAGCTGGGCTGCCGGTGGGCAGGGCCTGCCTTGGTGTCCATGCTGGGCTCCCTGGAGGGTGGCATAGGCTCTGCCTTCAACATCCCTGGGGCTCTACACAGGGATCTGTCCTGCCCACAGCCCTGAGCTCACTCCCTTTCTTTTCTTTTCTTTTCTTTTCTTTGCTTTTCTTTTCTTTTCTTTTCTTTTCTTTTCTTTTCTTTTCTTTTCTTTTCTTTTCTTTTCTTTCTTTTCTTTTCTATTCTACTCTATTCTCTCTCTTTTCCTCTGTCTTTTCTTTCTTTCTTTCTTTCTTTCTTTCTTTCTTTCTTTCTTTTTTCTTTCTTCTTTTTTTTTTGCAGTACTAGCAACTGAGCCAAGGACCTTGCACCTCGATGCGTGCCCGGCCCTGTTTAGCTTTTAGTTTTTGTTTTGAGATAGACTGTCCCCAAATCATTAGATGGTCTGGTTGGACTGGGACTTGTGATCACCCCGTCTCAGCCTCCAGAGTGGCTAGGCTACCAACTGAAGTACGTTGTCACATCTGGCCGTCAGATTTGTTGCTGATGACACCTTGGATTCATGGGCTAGAACCCACTGGGCTTTGGTGTGTGCTGCTTTACTGTTCTTTTAAATTAGAAATTCACATTTCATTGATGATTACTGCATGCATTTCCATGAGTGGATTGAGATTGTGGTTGCTGCTGTGTATTTACTTTTAGAATAAACTGCGTTAATTTCACTAAATGATTTGGCATCATTTTGCATCTTCCCACTCTTTGGACTCTCATATGAGAGAAGGTGTGTTTGTTGTTCGAACTTTGCCAGGATTCTCTATGGAGCTGTGAGTGAAAGCTTTTGAAGTTCCCAAGGTATTCGTGTTCCAGCGTGCTTGGACTGGTAGTAAGGTCTGCACACTGATTCTGACTCTGCTGCTCTTTACCTCTTCTTCCTGTGTCTCCCTTCTTTCTGTCGTGGTCTTGCTACAGTGGCAGCCTCTCCTGGCCTTCCTAACTTGCAGTTCTCTGTCACACCCCCCACCCCTGCAGCTGGTTTTCATCTTCAGCTCCTCGGGATGGACTCTGCGTTTGTGGTTACACTACTGATCAGCTGGGTTTCCTCGTGAACGTGTTTTCCTTAGCAATCACTTTCTTCAGATTTTATTTTACAGTCATGTTATCTCACACAGCTTTACTGTTAATGGAATTATGATCCCTTCTATAATGCAAAGGATTCTTGTATTACACAACCCCAGACGTGCTCATTTGTGCTTAAGCTCTTAATTATCCGAGCAGGAGCTTTCTCCTGTGGCGGGAAGGAATCTCAGTGTCGTTTTGGTTTGCATTCGTGTTGAATGCACTGCATGCTCGTGCTGGCCACTTGGGTTCTTTCCTTTGAGAAATGTCTGCTCATCACCCATTTATTGACTGGGTTGCTTTTATTTTCTGGTGTTTCTCGAGTTCTTTAGCTTACTCTAGATACAAATCCACTGGTTAAACAGTAGCTGGCAAAGAGCACACCTGCTCCTGTCTGTAGGGTGTATTTTCACTCTGTTGGTTGTTTATCTTGCTGTGCAGAAGCATTTTAATTTGTTATAGACCCATTTATTGATTCTTTCTTTTATTCCTGCACCGTTGGAGTCCTATTTGGGAAATCTTTGTCCTGTGCTTACAGCTTCAAGTATTTCTTCTATGTTTTCTTCTAGTGGTTTCCAAGTTTCTGTTGTTACACTGAGGTCTTTGAACCATTCTGAACTGACTTTGTACAGGGCGAGAGGCTCAGATCTGGTTTTAGCTTTCTGCGGGGGATAGCTGTCCAGTCTCCCGGCAGTTTTTAGGGAGCCTACTTCTTCAACGTATGTTTCTGGCTCCTTTGTCAGGAAACAAGTGTCCTGATTATTTGTTAGAAAGGACTGTAAATCAGGCCTGTAAATTAGGGTCATTCAGGGAAAGGCCATTTGGACAACAGGTGGGGCAGGAAGTTGGACAAGTGAGTCACATGCTGTAGTCTGTCACCAGCCTTGGGCATCGTGTGATGTGTCAGATCTCAGATCTCACTCAGTGTTCGCTGGGTCATCAGGCGGATGATTCACTGATGGGGAGACTGATAGCAGTGTGCAATAAGCGAGGTGCTCTGAACTCAGGCAAGGCTGCATCTGGCACACAGGTACCTGCAGTGGCAGAGTCCCTGAAGCTCTCCCAACCAAGCATGGAGGCCCAGAGTACCCCGATGGACAGTGCTGAGCCATCCCTGGGGCCTCAGAGGCTGCTAGGAAGCTGTGCCTACCCCGCAGAGGGACCTCTCATCTCTTCCAAAATTCAGAACACCTTTATGTCTGAGAACTGTGAGCCCCAACCCTGGGGCCTTCTCTGTTTTTGGACATGAGACCAAGTGGACCGAAGGCTGGATGGAGGGCTTTGAGTGGACAGACACCCGGTCTCCGAGGCCAATCTGTGACATGTGACTTTGAGGGAATTTGTCAGTGCTGAGAGAATGAGCAGTTTGGCAACAGAAAAGACATTTATAATTCACTTATTAGCACAGGTTTGCAGTGGGTGGTATTTGCACATCGGGTGTGCAGTCAGCACACACACAACATGTCTTAAATTCTCCCTTCTCCTGCCCCATCTCTTGATCCCTTCCTCCTCAGGAGAGGTCCATCTCCTCGGCTCCTAATCCATCTTTCGTTTCTCTCTTTGTTTATACCTTGAGCTTCTCATAATGAAGCCATGTGACATATAGTTTGTGTGTCATTCTAAATCATTCTACATAATTACAGTTTCGGACTAGTGTGTAGAATATATAAAGAACACAAAAAGTTTTGAGACCCCTACATAAAAGACCTGGTCAAATAAAGTCAAGAAAAGATTTTAATGGTTGGGAAACATAGGTGGTGGATGGAAAATGTGCAGTGTGATAATAACTTTCTTTCCTTCCAGTTGCATGGGAAAGAATCAGAAGAAGAACAGGAAGGAGAACCGAGGTGTGAAAAGGAAACGGTGAGGACGTCTCCCTCCGAGATCTTGTCCAGGCCCCTCTAGACCCTCCGCCCCTTGAGTGCTTAGGCTTTAGCACCGCAGTGCATGGCTGATCCCGCTTCTATCTCTCTGTTGTTTTCCACTGCATCCGAGTGAAACTCCAGCTCTTTCCCAGGATCCACAGTCCTAGAAGGCTGGCTCTTCCCAGCTCTGCCCTTTGGCCCCACTCCCTCACTCGATGCACCCTAGACCTCCCGCTCCCATCCCAGGCTCTTCAGCCTCCACCTCTGGGCCACAGGACCCTGGGTGTGGCTGCTCCTTGAGTCCACAGCCTGTTTCCCATGTCTGGACCCAGGGGTGGTGTTCTCTCCTGGAGCAGCTGCCTTTTCTGCTGTCCTTAGAGCTCTCCCTGAGACCGCAGAGGGACTGGGCTTCCAAACCAAGGCTACCTGTTGCTGTACCCTCCTTGTGTTTGTGCTGGCCTTGGTCTCAGCTGTAGCTTCAGCCTTCAGGACATGCGCTCTGTAAAGCACTCACTGTGTCTGTGTAACTTGCTGGTGACTGTCTGAGGCCCAACCTTTACAGGACACTCAGTGGAAAAAGAAAAAAGAGCACAAAGATAGCGGCTATCTGGACCTCAGATCTCACCCTGCCTTGATGAACAGAAATGCCCTGCTGCGTTTGCTAACGGTGGACTTTTCCTATCTGCACTCAGCCTCCTAATCGCTGCATCTCAGGCCCTGGGTTTCTTTTCTTCTTCTTGTCTCCTTTTTTAACCCTCTCTTCCCCTCCTGTCCTTTCCTCTCTCTTTTTCTTTTGTGGTGCTGGAGACTGAACTCAGGACCGGCACATTAAATTCTGTCCTCAGTCCTTTTTATTATTTTATTTTTTATTTTGCAATAGGGACTAACTAAATTACTAATTTTCCCAGACTGAACTAGACTTTCACTCCTCCGCCTCCCAGACTGGTGTGTGCCCCATACCCAGCCAGTCTGAGTCTCTGTCTCTGACACAGGATGTGCTCCTCTTATGGCCTCAGGGGCTGGAGGGCTGAGGCTGGGGCGCAGGGTTCCTCTGGCCCAGATCCTGGGTCTGCAGGCCTGCCTTCTCACAGCAATCACCTCTGTCCTCCACATAGAAGTCTGTCAGCTGTCTGTCCTGTGTCTTCTCGTGCTGGAGTGGACGCAGTTCTCTCCCCGCCGACCTCACTGGACGTTGTATATCTTCCTGAGTCAAGTTTTGATTATTTTACTTTTTACTAGAATGTTACCCTTAAATTTGTAATTTTCTGAGAAGGGCGGCAGGACTGTTCCTACTCATTACACCCCTGAGTGCAGGTCTCTGATCTGTAATGCAGTGAGATTACAATGTGTCCAGTCTAGGGGTGTAGAAAAGGACACCTCACCCATCATGCGGCTGCCACATCAAGATAAAGACACTTTGCATGACTGCCAGCGCTTGATAACGGGTCCAATTTCCATTTTCCTCTTGTGCAAGATGCCATGAGATGCTTGCTTTATTTTCACTGAATTCTGGTTCCTTCTCCACAATTTTTCCCTAATCATGCCAATCCTGTGTCTGAACACAGATCCTTTTCTTTTCAGGGTTTCTGTGTAGGAACAGGACGGTTTCCTCTGTCTCATCTCTCACTCAGTGTGATCCATAGAGGTGCTGCCCCCAGGCAGGAGTGAGGGACTGAGTGACCCCAGGCCCGGTCAGCAGAAGGGTGGTGGTGGGGCAGCAGGTGGGGAGGTTGTGGATTGAGGCTGCACAGGAGGGTGGCGGGGAGGAGAGGCTGGGGGAGGCAGGGAGGCCTGGCTGGGCTGGGAGATGCCTTGGTGGAAGCCTTGGCTGCATGGTGTGTTCATGCCCAGGCCCACGGGTGTTGACAATGGATTCTTGACCTCTGTTGCAGGAGCCTGATGTTTTCTGTGTTGGTAGTGTGTGATGATCACACTCCTCAAGGGGTGGGGGCCTGGCCCAAGGACATGGTGGCCCCTCCTCTCCCTCCGTCACTCAGTCCCCTTTCGGTCCCCTTTCGTGAACAACCTACCTCGCTGCCTCCTGTTGCCCATCTTTCATTTTGCTGCTGATTACTCATACTTTGGGGTTCAAAGTGAGAGAAACCCTGTAATATTCAAGCCCACAAGGCTGCTTTACTTCGGATAACATCACCAGAAGCCTTGTTTTGAAGTGCGCTTGTTAAAGCAACTTCGTTGCTGACGTGTTTCTGATATCCCTGTCCTTGTTTTTCCTCAGTTTTGCTTCTGCCTGAGAGGAATTCAGCTTCCGTTCTTCTGTTAACTTGCCATTGTCTTTCGCGTTGCTCTGTCTGTCCTGATTCCAGATGTTTCCACATTGCTGCTGCCCTGGGCTCTGCCGTGTCCATCTCTTATGCCTCACTGTGTCACCTTTTATCTGAAATGGAGGTACTGCCTGCCGGGGACCCGGACCTCTACAGGGTGAGCAGCCCTGGGGTGGAGGCTCAGGGCACAGGGAAATCGCTGCCATCCCTCGGGAGCCCTCAGAGTGGTGGGTCTTGTGTGGTGTTGTCTGGTGCAGTGTCCTGCGATCCACTTACCCAAGTTTCCGGGAGGCCATGGCCCAGGGCTTCTGCAGCAGAAAGAAGCTCACTGCTCCACTCTGGAGGAGGCTGGGGTCGGGTCAGTGCAGGCAGGTGGGGTCCCCCAGCTCTCACCTTGCTTGCAGGCAGCGGTGGTCTCCACCTCTCCATTTCCTTCCCTCTTTCTGTGCCTAAATCACTGCTCTTGGCAAGGGCATGCCTTCAGTCACTGCCCTGACTGCCTTTTAATTGCATGACCTCTGCAAAGCCCTCTGCCTCATGCAGGTGCATTCTGAGGTCCCGGGATGATGACTTCATTCTTCATGGGAGTTTCTAGGTGACAAATTTAGTCCCAACGCAGGCCAAGGAAACCGAAGAGACTCTTGGGATTCTGCTGCCTCTGCCTGGAGGTGACTTCCAGCTGGGACCAGGACTGGAGTCAGAGGGGAAGGAGCAGGGCATGTGGATGCAGTGCAGGGTTAGAGGGGCTGGACTCTCAGACAGAGTGCTGGACCCTTCATTCTCCACTGCCTGGAAGCAGGCTTTGCCTGCCACAAAGTGCAGGCCTGGTGGCGCAGTGGCCTCGCGGTCTAGAGAGCTCACAGGCTCACATGCCCTGAGGAGTGACTCAGAGAGCGCGGTCCCTTCTTCTGGGGCTTCCTGGGTCGGTTTCTGGCTTCAGTGTTCTGTAAGCACCCTGCATTTTCCAGACCTGGGCCGCCTGCAGCGCCCCTATTTAATGGCTGGATTTTATATATTTTCCTGGTTGATGTGCAAGGAATCTTCACTAATTCTGCACCCCTAAATCATAAAATTTTATTTTTTCTGTCTTCATTTTTAAAAATTGCCAAATACTGATGTGCAAATAGTAGTAAAATTGAACACATGTAAGGTACACAGAATGGCATTTTGATTCATGTGTGTGAGGTGAAATGCTTACTGGGATGGAGCTCATTAACCAGTGAACTCCTGTGGCCCTGCACACCCTCCCTGAGTCACTGTACCCGCCCGGTCACTGTGCTGGCAAATCTCACATGTGCATGCTCCTTGCCAGCTTTAGGCAGCAGCTCTCAGAGGCCCACCAAGTTTCCTTTCCTTCACTGTGGAATTGAGTTTCGCACTCGCATCCTCAGTTCAACATTTTGTCCTCCTTTCTTTGAATGGTTTTCTTTTGTTTGGTTTTCCTCTCTCGATAAATAAATTACATGTACGTGTGCATGAAAACCTTTACATTTCAAAATCATTTTCCTTTCTTGGACCATTCCACCTCCTGGTTTTCTGTTGTTTAATTTTCATTGCAAAGATGCTTAAATACCACTCTTTGTTTTTAGAAGAATTCACTTTATTCACTGAAAGTTTTGAGGTTGCTTCAGTTCTCTAAAGATTTCACTGTTCCTTTCAATTGTTTTCCTGATTTAGTCCAGCCCATTTTTATTTTCCTATTATTATTATTAAATAGACAAATACTTATTTGTATTTCTTGATACATTGTTTTGCTTTCTGTTTGTTTGTTTATTTATTTATTTAGGTACCAAAAACTGAACTCAGGACCTTGTGTTTGCAAGACAAGCGCCTGTGCCACGGAGCTACACCCCAGCCCTGTTTGCTTATTCTTGATTTTTGTTTTATTTTAAAGAGGGTAAGATTAAACATAACAAAAAAGAACAAAACAGATTATAAGGAAGCAATTTTAAGAAACACAGATTTCAAAGCAAGTCCACTGGAGATCTTCACTGTCTATCATATTGTCTCTAGTTTTCTTCTAAATAGTTCTCCATATCTTCACACACAGTGAAAACATACTAAGCATTATAGTACTATTCTAATCAGAACAGGATGATGAAGGATTTTTGGATCTTCAAGATTTGACATTAGGAAAGTCAACAATGGCTGCTATGTCTCTCATTCTCTTTGAAGTAGCTGTCCTTATCTTTACGTATGCTGAAATTAAAAATAAGAGACTAGACTAATATCACTCTGAACAGTGAATAATAGTATTGCTAGACTTTATATCATAATGCTACAGAATTAGCACTGCTTATTCTTGTTACCCATTGTGCTCTTGTAACGTTTACAGGAAGCAGTCATTTGTGATATGTGTGCGTATGTGTATATGGATGTGTGTGTACACGGAGGTGTGTGCATGTGCATATGTGTACGCAGATGTGTGTGTATGTCTGCCTGTGTGTCCTGTCTAGGGAGAAAGCCAAACACTTCCCCCCTCCAGCGGGTCTTGCTCTGTGTGCATTGCCCTCTGGGGTGGGCAGGTCGCTGTAGCTTGTGCCTCTGCTGCTGGGCGCCTCCTCTTCCATTTAGGAGAAGCTGAGTCTGTGAACTGCCCCCACCCTCGGGCCTCGTGTTAGGCTGGGCTCCCCCTACCCCATCCTGAACACTGCCACTGACACCCTGCTCCCTGGATGTCTGAGGGCGAGACTGGCGTGATGACACAGTGATTCCTGATTGGCCCCTGCAGTCCGGGCCCCTCCCCCACTGTCCTGGCTTTTCTGGGTTTTTCAGAAAGTTCCAGAGAAAGGGCTGGGGAGCGAGTCAGACCCTGGCCTTTCACGCAGCACTCTGCCTTGGAGAAGGGCAGCCCAGTGGGCCTGGAAGCCCATCTTCAGGTTCAGAGATGGAGGGTTCTCATGCTGCCACTGTCTTTTTCCTTGTAGGCAGGAAGTGACCACATCTGAAGGAGAAATTCAAGGCCATGATGAGAAAAGTAAGTCCTTGCTTCTTAAGATTTGTTACCCTAGTTAAGCATGCATTTAAATGTCCCCATTATCGGTCACAATGGGGTGTTAGAGAAGACGTGGTTTGTGATCTCCATTGTCCCGTGGCAGTGGTCACATGACATTTGTGTCATGGTGGTGTTTTTATATGGCTTATTTTTGGCAGTGTGTAACACATTTGCCTGGGAAGAAGTGAGCCAAAGTCCTCCCGGCTTCTAGCTGTGGGAGAGGCTGCTCTGCCTCAGACCTGTGGTCACTGCACTGTGCTTGTGTGATTGCTCCAAAGTGATAGGGTGGTTTGGCTTCTGTCTGTCTTTCTTTCTAGTTTTTCAAAGTACAGTTAGCAAACACAAATTACATGTAAGCAAATTCCATGGGCTACAAAGTAGACCCACATCACCAAATAGCCTCGCAGCCCTAAATAGAACAGCAACTTAGAGGTAACTGCAGTTTCTCCCATGAAGCTGTCATGACACGATGATCCGGCTGTGCATCTACAGGTGGTCATGCTGAGGGTAGAACACCCGCCTTGCTGGGTCCTATTAAAAACACGTCCCATGCCGGGTCCCACTGCTAAGTCCTGACTCTGGCTCTGAAGGCCAGCTGCCCACCTCAGTCTTGGTGCCCACCTTTTGCATGTTTGCTCCTGGGCCCTCCTGGAAAGCTTCTTCCCTTCTCTGATGGTACCCTTGGCCTGGTTCCCTGTTACTGGTTGCCTGCTTGGTGCTCTGTACTCCTCCTGCACCTCCCTGGGTCAACTCTGAGCCACAGAGCTCTGTAGTGTTCGGTCCTAGGGTGTGGAATAGATGTGTGTGATCATCATTTTTCTTCTGCCCTTCAGTAGGAGTTTTGGAGGAGACAGACTATGGAGGGCATTGATTGTGAAGAATGTTTTTATGTACATAGGCGGATACTTTTGTAGCAGTGGACTATTTATGATTTCTCTTTCCTTTTGTCAACTTTGTATTTCCCATCAAATTTGTTCTCCAGTCTCAAAGTCTTAAGTCTCTAAGCTTAAAAGTTCATCATATCCTCTTTTTCTTTAAACTTGAGGTAGTAGAGACTGAACCCACAGATCTCATGTTTTTATTCTATTATTTTGAGACAGAACCTTGATAAGTTTTTGAAGTTGACCTCAAATGGTGATCCTCCTGCCTCAGCCTTCTTGTATGCTGGGTTAGAGGTGTATTCCACTGCCCATGGCACTTCTGTATTAACCTTTCCAGGATCCATCACAGTACATTTTTCCCATGCCTTGCACTGTACTGTGTGCCTGTGTGTGCACACATATTTTCCACTGATCATCTGATTACTCATCATTTTAATGATGGTGATGGAGCCCTGAGCTGCATGAGTGACCTGGGCTAGTGACCCTTCCAGGAACTACATGTTGGGTGTTGGCCATCGGTGGCTTTAGTCACTGAAGGGACCTTGTATGCAGCAGTTACTGCAACTCACGTGTTGTCCAGTGAAATCTGCATGTCGAGGTGACTTGTGTTTCTTTGCAGAAGAATAAATACAAGTGTGGTAGATGAACAAAGCCACCAACAGGTATCTGGGATCGGTTCATACTGGAGTCTGTGGGTTTGGTTTTGTACACTGACTTTGCGGATGAGGTGGGGTTAACGAAGGATTTTCAGGAGGGGAGATTTACCACCTGAGCAACAACAATAACCAAGGTCCTCAGAAGGTGGAAGGGGACAAAGAAGGGGAAACTTCCCAGGGGTGCTGGTGGCTGTGGCCAGCATGGAAGATGCAGCTGCAGCTGGCCAAGATGGGAGAATGACGGAAGCTCTGGGTGCTGGAAAGCCGAGTGCTGGGTCACCCTAGACCTCCAGACAGGCAGGTGGTCCTGACTGTACCTTGCCGAGAACCAGAGGACAGAGAGAGGGAGCCCTCTATGGAGCCTTTGTTGGTCTGGTCAGGGTCCAGAAATCTCCTTAGTACAAGGTTGATTAACGAGAAAGAAGTGGAAAGGTTTTACTGACCCCTGGAGTGAAGTATGCAGGCCTGACAAAGCAAGACATTCACACTGCAGGGACAACAGGACACAGGGTCCCCAGGGCAGGGAAAAGGTCAGGGTGTTGCTTGTCCCCACCTTGGCACAAGGGCTGCACCCTCCTATGAGAGCCCCATTTTGCTGCTCAGAGGGAGAGCAGGGTGCTGGGGCACTTCCTCCGGAGGCTGCAGCCTGAAGTAACTGCTCATCCCTTGTGGCTTGTGTCCTCAAGGTGTGAGGAGCCTGAGACTCCTTCCACTCCTTTCACAGCTCTGATCACCAGAACCTAGACTGCTAAGTTTGCTCTTTAAGCCACTGGGCTCGCGTAATAGTGACAAAGAATACAAATGGGGTGACCGTGGGGACAGCAGTGACATTTCTTCCAGGTGTCCCCAGATCTCTTTCCAGTGCCCCCGAGTGCTCTTTCTTCTACCAGCTGTGCCCTGGCCAAGGACCCTGGACAGCAGCCTGGGACACTCCAATTCCTCAGTCATATGCCCATTGCTTGGTTTGGGCAGACAGCAGTTACTCAGCGAGGCGGGTCTCCTTTGCCGCTCTAGTTTCCCAGGCTGCTTGGACCTGCCTCTCCTTGCTGGGCTGGGAAGACCCCGTGTCCCTGGGTGGATACCGCTCCTGCTTCCCTTTGATACACGACTCCCTTGGGGTGCAAGTAGGGAAGCTCACATCCAGGGCAGGGGACTGGGCCAAGGGGGGATGCCGGAGGACGGAGCTCAGGGAACTGAGGTCCCCTATGCTATTCCCATTGTGCCAGAGGCCTGTTCTCTCCCAGGGGCTCCTCTCTCCGGAACCCTCCACTCACCACGTGTTCTCCACAGGGTTTAGCGTGGTCCTTGCGTATTCCCAGCTTTAATGTGAAGCTGAATATGACTATTTATAAATATTTTCACTACATCAGTGCAAAGCAGGAAGCACTTCACCTGAAATTTTTTCCTGCCCTTCACACTGACATGTGGCTTTCTAAGTCCTTGTCACCAGTGTCATTCTTGCATTGTGTTCAGGCTACATAACCTCATTATTTTATAATAAGTGCAAAAACTGAAGCATGCATGTGCAATAAAATCACTACATACACTACACTAACACCCATGTGTAACTACACGGATGTGTGTAGCACTCCACATTGGAAATCAGCCCAATCATGACTGTCAGAAATTCCTAGCTTCCTTAGTTTCACAGAATCTGTTTAACTTGTTTGAGAGTTTGAGATAGTCTAAGAATTGCTGAGGGTCACCATCAAAAATACCAGGCAGGTTTCAGGGTCAAGCACTTTTTCCTAAGTAGGGATGATGGTCACAGTTAGTATTCTGTGAATTCCTTTGTTTAATGTTAGTAGGAAATTTCATATTATCACACACCAATTGCTTCAGGAGTCACAGATTGAACCACCCAAATCTGTATTTGTATTGAAAGAGAAATGATCTTTTACTTTTGTTCCTATTCTATAATGACCCTAAAAGAATTGTGTAATTTTCCTGGGATAGTTTTATAGAATTCTCCTCTTCGACTTACAGCTCTGACCATTCCTTATCCATGGCTCACTTCCTTGTCACAGCATCTGTGGATAGGATTTTATCACCAGGTCCCAGACCCTGCTGTGGTGTCCACTGCTTACTGGCAGGCTGGGCCTGGGCGAGGGGCTGATGCCCAGGGTTCAAGCCCCAGCCCGTGAAGTCCCCTTAGCTGAGTCTGTGTCCCATGGTCGCCCTGCCTCTGGCGGTGTGAAAGTCTCATGTTCTTTTCTTTTATCCTCTAGGTAAAGAATTGCCCTGTGCTTCTAATCAGGTAATTGAAGGTCAATGAAATCAAGCAAAACAAAAACTAAGTTATCTTCCTCACATTTTTCTCAGGAACATCAAAATATAGATGATTTTGAGAGTCACCTCTGTCTTCCTATACTTGCAATTTCTGAGTAGACTTAAAGAAATCCTTTATATTTTAAATAATTTATTTGGCATTCCAATGCAAACATGGAAGGAAACAAAAATTTCAAAGTATTTCAGCTGATCTAGATGAAAGTTAGGAAGTTAGAAATTCAGTGGTCCCAATTCTCCTGACTTGCATTATTTGATTTTTCAAAGCTAGTATTACCAAAACAGTCAAAAATCAAATAAAATTACAATTAAATCTGAGCACCACAAAAACTACTTCCTTTTAGCTTTGCAAGTTGCCTGCCAATACCCAATCACAGGAATCGGCATTTGCAGTACAAACAAGCTGGAAGTCAGTACTGTGCAGAAGCACTGTTCCTTTTGAGGCTATACCATGAGCATCTTGTGGATTTAGGTTTTTTTTTTTTTTTTTTTTTGTCTTTTTCGTTTTTATTGGTACCTTTTATTCCTTGTTTTAATTTTCTTTTGGCCTGGTTCTGTGACTCCACTGATTCTGTTTTGAGGCTGACAGCGTCCCTTGCAGAGGCTGAGGCAGGTGGTCACTGTCATAGGGGTTCCCATCCCCCTATCTGGAGGAGGAGGGGTGCAGAGGAGCTGGGCTGGGATCTGGGTGGAGCTGCTGGCCGGGCAGTCTGACCCGGGTGGGCAGGGTATTGGGCTCAGAGCTGCCCCAGGTCCCAGCCATGACTTGTGTTCTCTCCATGCACGCAGGCACAGGACGAGGCCGGCAGCAGCTCTGAGGACTTGTGCTACACAGTCATTAACCACGCGGCCCAGCGGTGGCCATCCCTGGCCTCCACTGACCATGGCTATGAGAACGTGAGCACCACCAGGAGAGGCGGGAGGCGCTTCCGGGAGGAGTCGGAAACCGAATATGCCCTGCTCAGGACGGCGGCCATGGGCCCCTGCTCCTGCACTCCGGAGCACGACTATGAGCTGGTACTGCCCCAGTGACGCCATGCCCAAGGTGCAGCAGAGGGAGCCTACATCCTGCGGCTGGCTGGGAGCTGCCCGGTGCACCGAAGATACGGACATTGACTGAGTGACTGTCAGATCTGGGGCTTCCTTCATAAGCCCTGAGGGCGCTGAGCTGGTGAAGGGCTTCTGGGACAGAAAGACACTCAGAGCTGTCCCAGCCTCTCCGGGGCCAACGGGGCTCTCCGGACTCAGATGTGCCCTGGGCGCCTGGCTTCACTTGTGAGGTGCAGGAGGCTGAAAACACCAGACCAGAGAAAGGCGCTGCCACCCGGATACTGACTTCAGTTTTGCCTTTGTGTGGCTTGAAGAATCCTGTTTTGTGGTCAGAGCTCAGGAATCGTTTTTTCTTTAAACACTGTCCTTTCTGAGAGGAGGCAGACTGTCTCTCAGGACACAAAGCTGAAACGCTTGTCTACCCAGAGTCTTTTCTGTCCCATAGTAGATGGGAGGATTCTGTTAAAGAGTAGCAGAAAATGAGAAACAAAATCAAACTTGTACGTACAGCTTTGTTCACAGCGTTGATTTGATTGAACTTGTGACTGGATGCCTCTTCTGAGGGAACAGAGTCTGGCTTTAAAATCCCAGACACGTGGTGGATAATCCATCTATTTTTACTGCCCCAATGAATTTTTATATTACATTAGAGCTTTCTAGGAAATAAGCACCCAAAGGCCATAAAAGTCGAAGCATTTGTGAGGTTTTCCTCTGAGCATCCTTCAGCGGCCGAACTCTCAGTACTGACACTTCTGTTGTTGCCTGCAAGTTTCCTTTGGGGAAGTCAGTGTGCAGAAGAGTTTCACAGAATAAAAGTCACCCTGCCTGGAAACCTCGGTCCTGCAGACACCAGCTAGCACTTGGGGAGTGACACACTGCTCGTGCTTTGCATGCCTTGTTATTGGTGGTGTGGAATGAGGCGGAGGGCAGTTACACACTGTGTAGACTCCTGGGCTTCAGCCAGTGCAGCTAGGAACCTGGGGATGGGGCAGAGCTGGGCAGCGACTGGGGTGTATGTCTTTTGGTGGGTTAAAGATACTAGGATACTATTATATGAATGCTGGCAGAGGAGCTTGAGGGCAGAATGAGGAGGGCAGCATGTTCTGTGGGTGCCATGTGCCTTCCTTGGGTCCTCTGTCCTCACACTCAGATCTCCCAGCACAGCAGCTGTGGTGGTGGCTAGGGTGGTGTTGTCCTATGGCTTCTCCGCTCTCCGGCTACCTGACTGTGGACGCTGCTGAGCACACAGTTCCCAGGAGCAGAGGCAAACACTGAGCCCCAGGATGGTGCCCTGCCCAGGGACCAGCAAGCCCCAGGAACAGAGTGACTGCGGCCGGCTCTGTAGGAGGGTGGGGACCTCACTGCTACAGGGCCCACACTGAGCATGAGACCCAGAGACTCCTGAGGGCCTGCAGGGAGCACATGTCCCAGAAGGGTGGTGGCCTAGTGCTTCCGGAGCTCCCAGGGTTTCCTGTACTGGGGCAGTTGGCTTGCTGAACGGGGAGCAGCCTTGAAGCACTCAGAGCCAGCATAGGGCGGATCCTGATGCTGGGAGCAAGGGTGGAAGCGGTGGACAGACTGTGCCGGTGGTGAATGCATCTAGGGAGAGAGGTCATGCCCTGGAAGACAGGCATGGCAGGGTGACCTCACCTCCCTGTGCATCAGAGAGCTTTGCAAATGGGACAGAGATCATGGCTGGGGAGGGGATGCACGGGTAATGGAGATGTGCTGTGTGTGTGTACCAGCTCCCCATGGGGCAGGTGAGCACGGTGCACTGCAAACTTGGACTAGTATGCACATGCTTCTGAAAAGTAAAGTAACAAGGCTGGGGAGAGATGTGGCTGTGGAAGCTGCACACCTTTGCAGGCTCACCTGCAAGCTGGCGCACAGGGAATGGGGAGGGCAGAGGTTTCCTATAGCATTGCTGACCTTCAAAGTCATGCAGGGAGGCTGAGGTGAGGAAAAGGGAGAGAAGCTTGTGGCTGTTGTGAGTATAGAATACAAGAAGATGAGAACTCAGGAGGAGAGAGGGGCCTGGACAGGGTGAGCCTTTCACGTGGAATCGGCCCCTGCAGCTGAGGAGGGAGGGTGCTCCCTTGGTCTTTCAGGTTGTCTGCAGGAGAGGCGATGGGGGCCTGGTGTCTCCTCCAGGCTATTACCTGCCAGTGATGCAACACAGGGTGAGGCTCTCTTCGAAGGTCAGCTCCTCTGCCTGCTTTCTCCTGCTGGGCTTCTCAGAGTAGCCTATGCTGGAGAAGGCGCTCTCCATCGCCGCTGTCCTTCTCTACCTGCTGACGGTTTTCCACAATGCAGCCATTGTTCTCTTGGCCTGCTGGGATCCCTGGCCCCACACTGTGATGTACCTGTTCCTCAGCCACCTGTCTATGATGAACCTCTGTACACAGCCAGCACAGTCCCCCAGCTGCTGCTGAACCTGGAGGGCCCCGACAAGGCCATCACATATGGAGGCTGCATTGTGGGGGAGCTGTGTGTATTACTGGCAATGGACTCCACAGAATAGTCCTCCTGGCTATCATGGCTACAGCCTCTGCACTACCTGGCCCTCATGCATTCACATCTCTGCTCACAGCTGGTGGCTGCAATGTGGCTGACTGGGCTGGCCAGCTCCTTGGTGCAGACCATGCTGATCACCTGGATTCCCCCCATGGGAGAAAGGTCATCTTATCACAACTTCTGTGAGGCACTGGCTCTGCTGTGGATGGCCTGCATGGATGTCACGTTCAATAGGATGGAGCTCCACATGGTCAATGTGATCTTGCTCCTGCTGCCCCTTGCCCTCATCCTGGTTTCCTACAGCTGCATTGCATGGGCTTTGTGGACACTCAGGTCATCTGCAGGCCAGTGCAAGGCCCTGGGGACCCACTCTGTGCACCTGGCAGTGGTGTCACTCTTCTGTAGCTCTGCTGTGGCTGTGTACTTGCAGCCCACCTCAGCCACCACTTGGGACCATGACAAGTTCCTGGCCTTGCTCTATGGCAACAAGACATGAAAGGGGTCCTGCAAAGAGCTGTGGGCAGATAGTGAGGAGAGGAGGCCCAGCAGGGGGAGAACTATTGGACAGAAGCAGGCTGAGGGCCAGTCGCGGCTCTGTCATTTCCAAGCATGCTGCCTGTGTGTGAGAACAAGTCATGCTGGGAGTTTCCTCAGCTCCACTGCAAGGAGATTGGCTTAGTTATACTCATGGCTGTGCAACTGCTGGTGAGGGGACAAATCCTGACTTGTGTATTCCCTCTCTTGTCATGACATCAAAGAGGACGACAGTGCACACTCAGTGTAATACAGAAGTGGCTGTGGAGATGAGCCATACACAAGGGAGTTCTGCATTCTTCAAGTGCAAAACAGAATATTCCACAAGAGAGGTGCAGGGTGGTTCTCAAGGTCCTGAGGGGCTCACAGTCCATCTGATCAACCACAGTCAGCATCCCAGTGCCCACAGAATACTGCTTACGAGTCATGAGCTGTGTCCTAGCATTGCCAGGACAAAGCATTCTGTTTTCCCCACACTGAATGACCGTGTTTGGACAGACACTCTCATTATCTGTTTCCTTGTCGCTTTTAGATTGAGATGGAAGTTTGTTTCCTTTTATTTCAACCTTCCTTTTGGCTTCTGCCTTGAAAGTGGCCTGAACTCACTTCTGACAATGTAGTATCCTACTTGCTTAAGTGCTGTCAACACATGAAATCAGCAGCCAGCTACAACCTTTCTGAATCCATGCATAATTCTTTAAGTATTGCTTAGGTGGCAGGATGCTAAATAAACTTAAAATCTTGCAAATTTTTAAATTTAATTTGAGAAATCTTTAAATTGCTCCTACAAATAAATTTTGCACATCAAATTGCTTTATATGGATGGAAGGAAGTGGCCTGAGTTTGTCTCCCAGGTACACGTTTATCTTCTCCCAGTCACAGTGACTGGAGGTCCTGCAGGCACTCCTGCCTGATGGTTCCTAAGGATGCTGGCCCTCCTCTCCTTGTCAGCCAGCAGGATTTGCGTCCATGGTGAGCAAGTGGGCATCAAGCATTCATCCAAGTGCAGAGTTGGTCCTACCTACAGCTCTGAGGGACACTCATGGGGGTGTGGGGTGTGCCTGTCGCTTCCTGCCCAGTATTCTTGTGTGAATCACCATAGCACGTGCATGGAAAATCTACACTAAAGCAAGAGGCTGAGCGCGTAAGTGTGTGCTCCCTGCCTCTGCTTGGTTGTCCCAGCTGGAAGTGACCAGGCACCTCTGCCACCTCTTCCCCCTTGGGTGCCTCCCCTCCCATCCCCTGGCAGCTAGAGCCATGCAGATTAGTTCCTCATCACTTTGGATCTCCTGTGAGGAGCACCATGTGCTTTAAGTTTACTGTGTAAATACCTACTGAATAACCACGTGGGCCGAATTAATAGTGATGAGATTTAGTAAACCATCTGGATAACAATTCTATATAAAGCCAACTCCTGCATCCACAATGACAGTATAATGTATAACTCATCAGTTAACTGTTCCATGACTTTTGAATGTGCGTTGTGAATTTTCCCTTATTTTACAGTATTGACCTAGAACAATAAAAGATGTTAGTAGTGGTGGTGGCGGCGTGAAAATATGTCCCTATTTTCAACCAAAAGTGACATTAAGGGTAGATTTAACTTAATAGGTAAGGAAGTTTCACTTCTACATGTCTGAGATTATAAAAGTGCAAACTGCTCTGAAATTCTACCAAACACATTATGTGTACTTTTAAAAATGGTTTTGCATCATCTTGTTTTTAATATCTTTTTTCCTGTTTTAATATTTTCCTTCTTCTATGAAGTACCCACTAATGCGGGGGAGGGGGTGCCCCAGAAGTCAGTCACCTCTGCCGGCCTGCGCTCTGCTGGTGATCTCTATCTCTGTCACCTTCATGTCACTCAAGCAGGCGGCATGGAGGCCCCTGGTGCCTGCGGTGTCCTCTTCCTCCCCCTTTGCTGAGCTCCGCTCCTGCACAGGGAGAGCCCTCCCCCGACCCTGCGCCCAGCATCCTGTGGAACAGCACCGGCCCTTTGAATGGGGCAGGAGTGGCCTCAGGACTGGAGCAGGTCAGGGAGGCTCTGATGCCCCCCGCAGGCTGGGAGATGCGTCCCAAATGCCTCCTACAGAGCTCACACCCTGCTCAGGGGCCGCCCTTAGGAAATCGCAGGAGGAGGTAAAAAGGGAATTTGACTTTGAAAAAAAGCTCAGTGGCTCTTTGTGCGGGGCTTGGCATGTGACTGAGGACCGCAAGAATTTTAAGACAAATTTCTCCCCTCACAGCATTGTTCAAAAGCATCGCCTGAACTTCGGTAGTGTCTGCCCTGCATCTGTCAGACCTCTCACTGGCCCTAGTGAGGCTCAGGTTCCCTCCTGTCCGGAGAGGAATAGCTCTTTGGGGTCAGAGGTGGAGGCTTGAGCGGCGCCTCTCTGCACCTAGCACCGCGGACAGCGCCCTGCGACGCGCGCCCCTCCCCGCTGCAGCTCCCACGCACCTTGGAGAGGGCAGAGGGGCGGCGACTTCTCAGAATGAACACCGGATCCGGTGGCAGCCTTCTTCCCTGGTTCAGTCTTCCTCCTCCTTGATGGCTTCCGGGAGCGCTCACCCCTGAAGGAAGCTCGATCCCGCGCTGCGGACCAGAGGAGGGCAGTGCCCAGCACCGCTCTCCAGGCCCCGCATCCCCAGTCCGCCCGCTTCTGAGCGCCTAGGATTCTCTCCCTGCCCAAAGCTCCAGCACCCCAACACTTCTGCTCTCGGAAATGTGCCCCGGCCGCTCCAGGATACTTGTGTCCCCTCTCCTGCACACCTGTGTGACCTGGG